TTCATTCATTCTTATAATTAATTCAAATTCCCTTTCAAAATCCTTTAATATAAAAGAAAGAACTAATTCTATTCAGGCCGCAGTGAAGAACCTGAGTTTTTAAATTCAAACATAGCTAGCGCAGCCAGTTTGAGTTTCCAGATGGTTGACAGTCAGGTAACATGTTTCGGTTTGGGATTATAATTTTCCTTTTCGTACAAGGTGGCGCGTTCATTTGTTTTTATTCTAATTATTTAAGAGGTTTTGGATATGGAAAATAATTATAATTTAGGAAGTTCTGCACTGGTTGGTTACATTTGAATGCATCACATCTCGAAGAATATCAGACATAACAGTACATTTTTCAACTCGAAGTCTGCCAGTCATGAAACCTTTGTCATAGGGAAGTTTATATCTAGAATCTGTCACGAATTCCTTATGTTACTGCGAGGTCAAACTGCGGGTACTCTCTCAAGATACCTTTGTCATTTGTTTCCGAGAATTATTACACGGTACTCGACCTGTCGCGGTCGAAATTTTGAGGCTTTGTTTGCCGTTAAATGTTATCTGATTCTTTCCTCCACCAGCCGGCTTAACTGGCGTTTTTGTGTGGGAAAATTACTATTTCCGTCCCAAAGCTCTCGCAGCCCTGCCACCTAGCATTCAAAGCTCACACAACCGCGAGTTACATGTACACAGGCATTCGCAGGTCATCTCCACAGCAACTCAACGAACAGCACTGCAGAGTTTACATACCATCAACAATACTGTTGATTGCCAAGGATGCTTTCACTGTCAAAGGGTGTTTAATGGCTTAGCTGTTCGAGCAATTTTGATGAGTCTTTTTTCTTCATAATAATACAAGCCTGAATTTTTTGCGATTCTCAGAATTTTGATAATCAATAGCATGCTGTGTTTCCTCGCAAAATAAATACACCATTGAAATTCAATCGGCCGTCAATAGCCTATTGTTTGTAATGCCTAAAAGAGCCAATAAGGATCGCCGTTCAAACGCATGACCAATTAGACATATATACCGTTGATATTATGCCGTTGGGCTACGAAGAGGTTCTTGAACAGCAGATGACTCAATTTATCCCTTCATTTATATTGAAGCACAATCAATAGACAGTAATTCTGAGCAACGTTAGTCGAGTAAAGTGCCCTGTTTTAAGAAAACTGCTCAAAGGAAACACATTCTTTGTATTGACGTCCAGTAGAGAATAACCGCTTGCAGGTATGTCTTTCTAATATGTTCTATGCCTTATATCTAGGTTTCCACATGCCCTCATTCCTGGCTTCAGTTAGGAATTCTGCAGCCTTCCTCCCCGAGGCTACCTAGAATACAGTTGAATGCGCTCTTACTATTCAATGCAAGTTTAGAAAATCAGTAGAGTACATGCGATCCAACCGAAATTTTGGGAAATGGCCAACCTGACGCAGCCAACACTGCGTGTGTAACAACGGAAAAATGTTTACATCTCCTGTAGACTAGTTGAGGCGCCATAGGTAAAGATCGTCAAAAACTACTCGTATAGGTCAAAATTTCATTGTCACTAAATTACCAGAGGGAGTAAGAGCACAGGCAGCGAAATATTGTCATAATT